CCAATAAAAATGTATCATTATCAATGTAGTCAAAATCGCGCTTAAAAACTTACGATTTTACGTTTCTAGATTGCTAAAACGCTTCTACACAAAATCTCAATTTTTATAACTCTATGTAGTTAAAAACTCCGCTTTAAAACTTAAAAACTTACGATTTTACATTTCTAGATCATCAAAACGTTTCTACGTAGAAACTCGCTTTTATCATTATATTGAGTATATTGACAATCGAACACTGAAAACAATCCTTAATTCATCTCCTAGTAGAGGACAAAATGTGGTTGTTGCGCTGCGCATAAGACATGATGCATCTGTTGAGATGAGATTCCAATTTACTATAGTTGTTTAGGGCTGCAATTAATTAATGAAATGGGAGTTTGTTATCTTGTCTGGTAACTTAGCTTAAAAAGCCAACAATGGTAACTAGCAACGTGTTTGCGTGCATTTAGGGCACACCCTTAGCTTCGATGGTCGATCCATGTGGAACTTTTGTTTTGTACTGGCCGGCCGGGAGGTTTAGTACTCATTAATTTCTTTTTTCTATTTTTTCCCCAGAAATCCTTAATTAATATAAATATCATATCTCAGCTGCCTGATTGTGGACTACACCGGATATGATATTTTCCTTAATTCACTGCACCATATATCGAGCTCTTCTCTAGCATAGCACCCAATCACCATACCAACAACAGACAAAAGCAAATTAATTCATCTCTTCCTTTGCCTTTGCCTTTGCATTTGCGTTTGCTTTCCCACCGCCGGATAACCAAAAAGCTCTCGTTTCGCCCGCATTTCTTCCCGGCCCACATCCCCGCCGCCAGAGCGACTACCCGCGTCCGCACACCCGACTCACCAACTGCCTGCTGACTAGGTTGTTGGCACTTTTGATTGAGTTACTAGTTTCAAATTGGTACTAATTAATTAAATTAAATAAAATATATTTGGCTTTCCTGTTGACTAGGTTGTTGTGGAGCACGTAAATAAACATGTACGAGGTTTGGGACCAAGAACCGTTCTACGTACGTACGTTTTGATCTGTCAAATCCTTGTGTCCACGCGAGCCCTTATCGAGACGAGAAAGCTTCTTCAACAACAGCAACAAAACTAAATCAGCTCTTCCTTTACCTTCCCACCGTCGGAACCAAAGGCTTTGGCCCATTATTTTGGTACGTATTAATTTATCTTGATTGCATGCGTTAGGTACCGCCCGGCCAATTTGTTAATTAGCCTTCTATCGGCAAATTTGTTATTATTTTAGTTACCAAAATATAATTATTTTTAAACCTTAGCCCTTTTCAAACAAATTTAATTATTTTCCTAGTAAAATTTTTGGTCGCAAAACCTAGCTACTGCACTTTTTGTTGTACTGTCTGTGACTTTGTTCTTCCTCAACCTAGCTTATTCCCTTCCCTTAATGCATCAATAATTAATTAATGTACATGTGTTCTTGCTGTGTGATGTTTGGCTTTGCAGGCAATACGATAAGTTCCGCATCATCAAGTTCAACGTAACTCCACCAATGGCTGCCAATGATCGAATTCCAAGGGTAACATTTCGACTGCCGGAGCAGCAGGATCAGCCCATAACGCCACCCGCTGCCACAGATCATAGGGTGACGTTTCGGCTGCCGGAGCATGACGGCACAACACCCGATACATATATCCATCCCCTTGACATCTTAATCGCGTGCGTACGCTACTCCTCCATCTGAATTTAATATTTTATTTTCTCACGAAATTTCAACTTTTTAGTTTCTCTATAGAATATTAATATTCAATACGGTAGTTAATTAGTGCTCGATCGCATAAATATGTATGTTGACCTACATAAGATGGATGTTTTTAACAGTATCCAAACCTGTTCTACTTTTTTGTTGTTGTAACTTGTAAATAATGTACATGTTACTTAGCTTGCTGTGTGATGTTGGTTTTGCAGGCGAGCAGGGTGCATGACAAGTTCCGCATCATCAACTTCAACTCCATCAATGACAGCTGCTCATGATCGAATTCCAAGGGTAACATTTCGGCTGCCGAAGCAGGAGCCCAAAACACCAGCCGCCGCCACAGATCGATGGATCACATTTCGGGTGCCGGAGGAGGATCCCACAACACCGGCCGGCTCCACAGAACGATGGGAGACATTTCGGGTGCCCGAGCAGGCGGCCACAACACCGGACGGCGGCACATATCTTCATCCCCTTGCCTCCTTAATCACGTACGAATTTTATTATTTTTATTATTTTCTCCACTAATTAAATTAATTTCCACTTTATATATGCATAGAGCATGCTAGCTAGCAAACTTTGTACTTCTTCTACGTACCTTCCCTTAATGTATCAGTAATTAATATACATGTTGGTTTTGCAGGCGAGCAAGCAGTATGATTAGTTCGCTCTCTACTTCTGCCACAACGTGGCCGTGTTTTGCAACCAAGGATGGTGGGTAATCAAGACGGCGATAACGCCGTCGCCAATGACTACATTAGCCCTAGCTGCGTCTTTCCCCTTTTTCTTGTACGGATACGGTAAGTAATTTAGATTCGAGAGTTATTAATCAATAATGGCTTAATGAGTAAATTGCAACTTCTCATCACTAATAATTATCAAGGGGTGGGCATATTTAATTACGGTCAAATATGTGGTGCGGTTCAAACCGCACCAAATTGCATATCTAAGTGGTTTGATTTGACCGCACCAATTAAATTGCGGTCTAATATGCGGTGCGGTCCAAATGATATGCGATGCGATGCATTTTGTCTTAATGTAAGTGGTGCGTTCCTTGCCCACCCCTATTTATAACCAAACAAATAAGGTCACAGTCAGTTGGAAAATTTGTTTCAAAACAATCCCAATTGAAGCATCAAATCTTGAACTGATATTCGAACCACCCAGATCCAAGTCTAGGCACAGTGCCACACTCCCTTCCGCCACTCCTACTCTCCCACACACAATCTCACCCACACTTCCTCCAGCCCACTAGTCTAACAAAGCCGGGCCTCAGCCCAAATCTAAGCATAACAAGAGTGGGTGGGTATACAAATTAAAGTGAGAGGAGAATAAGATTGGAGGAGTATGAGTATATGGCGTAGGGACAAGATAGCAGTAATTCGGTGGTTGAGTGAAAACCCATAACTATAATTATTAGGTACAGAATCTATTGATAATTTAGGTTGGATTTAGGATTCGGTTTATATTTGATACTGTTCGAGTTTGATCAAATCAACCGAATGGCCAGTATTTATTGACATGTGCGTATTGTACTCATTAGTAGCCTTTGTTTACTATGGGTAGTTAAGTGTAATAGTGTGGTCTTCTTCCTAATTACCCTAGGTTACAGTCGATGGGTATTAGTAGGGCTTTCTATGCCCAGCCGCAAAACACACTTTGTAAAGCAGATTTCTATTATGCGTTGATAGTGGAATCTCTCGAGAGCTCTGCTCTTCGTGGACTAGTCTCGTCAATCGGGGAAACCACGTAAATCATCGTCTTCTCTACTTTCCGCATTCACTAGGTTTTACAGTATTCGTTGCACATATATTAGAAGGTTGCTCGGATATAATTAGCATGTGTTGCAAAGTTTTTCGTTTTCGTATCTGTAGTTGCATATATATATATATATATATGGGGAGTTCTACGGTACCCAGGGTGAAATCCGGGGTACCACATACCTTGAGTAAAAAAATGCTATCCAGAACTTGAATTGACTGATCTTTCGGACATGATACTATACTCTAACCCTTAAAGATCAGCATTTAGGTCTAATTCTCTAAATTTTATACCCCAAGATCAATTTAATTAGAAACAATAATCGACGGTTATGATTCATCCAAATATAGGCAAAAAAATCAATGCACAATCTTAGGGTTTATAGTTTATGATTTAGATAATTAGGACCTAGGGTTCACTCATTAAGGGTTAGGGTATAGTATCAATCTCAAAAATCCTGCTAATTCGAGGACTAGATAGCGTTTTTATACTCAAGGTATGCGATACCCCGGATTTCACCCAGGGTACCGTAGAAGGCACTATATATATATATATATTCACTCACCATATATGGGTCAGACTGGCATACGTCAGGCGTATACTATACGTCAGGTACTACTAGTGAGATATCTCTATCTAGACCATGAATTAAATCGAGTTTGGGGTATGATACTATACCCTAACCTCTAATGGATAAACCCCAGGCACCCATTTTCTAAATCCTAACCCGAAGTTTGATTAAATGAAAAACAAAAATTGACCGTTGAGATCAGCCGGAGCTCATCTAACTACATCTAACGGCTAGATCACCTGACGTATACTATACATCTGACGTACACCAGTATTCACCATATATATATATAGGTGGCTACTTCGGCGCACTCACTTTTTTGGGTTCACTCAGTGCACCCAACTCTAAAAGTGTCCATAGCACATCAATTTTTGAATTTTAATTAGTACTCTCAATCTAATATGATGATATGAGATAGAATCATAACAAATCAATCTATTACCCTAACCTCTTAACCTTCAATTTTGAATCCCAACCCAGAATTCCAAATTGTAAACCTAAACCCTAACCCTAAATCCCCAAATCCTAAATCTTTCAAATTAAAGTAAATTTTGAATGATTTTTTTTCAAATTCATGTGCTTCTTGTTCATAATATCATAAGCAACCATTGATACCGTTTTGACAAGGATCGCATGCTCATAATGACAATTATGAGGTGGGTGCACTGAGTGCACCCCAAAAAGTGGGTGCACTGAATACGCCACCATATATATATATGCTTTATTGCATGGTAATTAACTAACTAGTAATGAGTGAGATGCAAGCAAGAGCAGTGTAGATGAAGAAATTATTCATGATTAGTTAATTACTTGCATTTGGTCGCTTCATGATGAATTGCTGAGAAAACTCTCTTAAAGCATGCAGACGTGGCGAGCTCACGTTGGGCAGATGCTGTTTGGCACGACCTGAACCTCACTCACAGCGAGGTGTCACTCTACGCGACCTACACCGACAGGCTGTCCTACGCTGTAGGCGCCTTTGTCGCTGGAGTGGCTGCCAACCGGTACGGCCGGAAGTACTTGTTCGTCGTTGGGGGCATCGTTTACATAATAGGGGCGTTAATAACGGCTTTCACGACGAGCTTCTTTGCGTCGTCCCTGGGACGGGCTGCGGGTGGTTTCGGCGTTGGGATGGGTCTCCTTGTGGGACCTATCTACATTGCCGAAACGGCACCCTCCACTACTCGTGGTTACCATGGTACCTTTCCCCAGGTAACTTGTTGGTTTTTTTCTCTTCTAATTAATTACTGCAACAAATTAAAATTGTTTTACCAATGTTTTAATTAATTAGATTAGAATGTGGTAATTAAGAAACTTCTAACATGCATCTTGTTTTTTTCTTCGCAGTTACTAATTGCAGTGGGGTCCATGGTGGCGTACGCTTTGGAATTGGCACTCGTCCGGGCTCCACGACACGTAGCATGGAGGGTTATGGTGGGGGCTGTGACGCTACCCACCGGGCTCTTCACCTACTTCGTCTTCTCGCGTTGGTTCTCAGACACGCCGTGCTGGTTGATGATGATCGGCCAGGTGAGGCTCGCCGAGCAGCTGATGGAGCAGTGCGGGGCCACGGGCAAGGAGCCTTGGGATAGGAGGGAGCAGCTGGAGCACGTCGCCGGGTTTCCCTATCGCTCCGTAGTCGATCCACGTCGGGTGGATCTGTTTCCCGGTCGGATTACCGGGTTCTGGGCCCATGTGTCCGACCGGTTGGGTTCCCAGTTTCGGGACGTGTCGGCAGTCACTGTCTTGCACGTCGCCCAGGAGGCGGCGTGCGAGCAGATGGCGATCCGATACGCTCTCGTGGCGCTCACACGGAACGGCTTCGGGTCGGTCCATACCTACTCGGGCGTACTTCTAGTGCTTTCCTTCGCCAAGTTGGTTGCGACGACGTCCTCCTTGCATGGAGCGCAGAGATCCATGGAAGGGCGGAGGAGAATGGTGCTTGGAGGGATGGTGCTAGCGGGATGCTCCTTGGGGTTCCTCGCCGGGACGAGCTTTGCCGATGCGCACGACCACATCGGTCGTGGAGTCGCGGTTGTGCTGCTGTGCGTCGAGACGATTGCACTACAGACGGCACTTGGGCTCGCATTGGGGCCCATACCCTGGATGTACGGTCCAGAGGTGTTCCCGCTCGCAGTGCGAGCACCCAGTGTTGGGCTTTGCCTCGCCTTCAAGTTTTTGTTTACTACATTTTTTAACTGGACTTTTGATGGATTTGGACTGTTCTCCACTGTTGATACAGTCTGGCTGAGCTTCCTGTTAGCTTTTGGGCTTATCGTAGTTAGTTTTTTGGTTTCTTTTGGGTTGGTTAGGGAGACTACTTTTAGACTGTTGATGGATGATCCGTAGTATAGTTGTTTCCTTTTCTTTCCTCTTATTGTATGTAAGACATTCATTCAATCCTTTGGAGGTATATATTTAAGGCAAAATACACTTCTATAGTCATAACTTTCACGTTTGTGACTGTTGGGCATATGGCTCGGGTCTAACCGCGCCAAGGAAGCACACCGGCATCGCCGTCAGGAAAGTAAAGCCAACGCAACCAGAGCCCGCGCGAGGATCCCAAGCACGGCAAAGCTATCGGGCGCGGACAAGGATGCCGGATGCTAAACGACGACGTCTAAGGCCAAGGGTCAACCAGACCAGGAAACAATGGAAAGTGACCTTGCAGTTCCCAAGGAGGGGTCACATCACAATCCTAGATAAATCCCCCTTGTCTTAGGTAGAAGCCTACATCCCCTGGCATGTCAGTAGTCATGTCATCCAGTCACCATGTAACCCACCCACCACCATGTAGCCTATAAATATGGCATTTACTCCGGTGGGTAAGGGGATCGATTTTTAGAGACTCTATATCTACAACTATCAACTTCTCTCTCTAAGATTTTATTCTCTCAATCCCTTTCTCCTCTGCCTTTGTTCGTCGACCCATAACTGACTCTCATTGCTTGCTCTCCTTGACCCCCCTTCTTCCCTGAACCTCACTCCTACACTCAGTTAGGTTCAAACAATTGGCGCCCACCGTGGGGCCAAGTGGAGAAGCAAAAGAAAACCGACCAATGGCAGAACATAACCCCAACTCACCTGACGAAGCAACGCCCATCAAAGCAATGACCAACCCAAGGGTGTTCGCGGAAACCAGCAATCTCAACGCGGTGCTCATCGAAGAAGAAGAGCCCGAGCTGACAGCCAAAGAAATGAGGCAGCTAATGGCGAAGCAAAACAACGTCATAGCCGACATGCAAAAACAAATGAGCCAAGTCATAGTGCTCATGATGAGCAAAGAAGCCGCGACGACAGTAGACGCGACACCGGTCGCACCGCAACAAGCGCCAGAGAAGAGTCAGGGACCGCCCCGCTACCACAACCAGCGCCAGCCGAATTTCCTGCGTGTGAAACGCAACAAGTTGAGCTGCCAGGCAGGGCGGACCTCAGCTTCCTGGAGCAACACCTATCCCCGCAATACCGCCCCAACCCACCCAGAAAGGCCCTCCACCAACCGCTAAGCGCGGAAATCATGGCGGAGCACCTGAGCGGAATGCCACCCGCCCTCCCAACGTATAACGGGACGACCGATCCCGAGGACCATGTAAGCACCTTCTTCATGCGGATGCAACTCCAAACAAACTCCAACGCGGCACTATGCAGAACCTTCTCATCAACGTTCTCCGGAATATGCCTCGATTGTTATAACAGACTCCCAAACGAAATCATTCGCTCGTGCGAGGAGTTCATACTCTTGTTCACAACAAAATTCGCGTCCCAAAAAAGAAGGCCTCTCCACCTCAAGGCGCTGATAGACATCAGGCAAAAGGATGGAGAAAGCCTGCGAGCATTCTACGCCAGATGGTCCAGGGTGGCAATGGCCGTGCGCGATCTCACCCCTGAAACCGCGGCCCATCACCTTATGGAAGCCACCACCAACATGGAGCTCAAGCGGGCATTGGCGAAGAGACCCGTCACGCTATCAACAGAGCTAGAGATGAAAATCGAGAAGGCAATCACACTGGAAGAAACCCTCGGCGCGGGCTCTGTCAGGCGCTTCGAACCCGCAAAACCTCCCCAAGAAGATCAGGGCCGGAGGCAGCTCCCGGTGCCGCGAGAGCAATTGGTGCAACTACACAGCGGACCAAATCGCCACCCCCCTCCCCAACCAGAGCAAGCTCAGCGGGGACGGTCACCGGATAGGCGCCAATCAAACGCCTACACGCCGCTCAACGATTCCGTGAAAAATGTGTTCCACGTTATCCGAAAAAAGCATTGCGACTTCCACAGAGAGACGGGGCACTGGACAGAAGATTGCAGGGAGCTACGATATGAAATAGAAGGCCTCATACGAAGAGGACTACTGACCGAGTTCATCCACGGGAAAGAAGAACAAGTAGAGCATCCCCAAAATCCACCACCACCCCCGCAAGCCGACTACAACGAAGCCACCGGCGCGTATGTAGTACGAAAGGAAATAGGGATGGTAACAGTAGAGGGAGATCACCCAAAGAAAAAAACTAAGCACGAACGCGCAATGGAATGCGCGATGGCCGAGGTTCAGGCAAAATGCAACCTGAGCTTCGATGAAGCTGAATTCCCACAAGGAATCCCGTTAGAAGACCCACTCACCATCACCGCGCTAGTTGCCGCCTGCAAATTCACCGTCTACTGATAGATGGGGGCAGCGCGGCGGACATTCTTTTCAAAAGCACCATCGACCAAATGGACATCGACCCACGGCTGATCAAGCGCGCACAAGGCAACTTGGTCGGGTTCTCCGGGACAAGGGTCCCGGTGATCGGCGTGGTCACCCTTCTAGTCGTAATCGGAGACCAAGAGACACGCGTCTCCAAGCAAGTCGAGTTCACGATAGTCGACTGCAAATCGCCGCACAACGGCATCTTTGGCCGACCATTCCTAGCCAAATTCATGGCTCTCCCATCAACGTGCCACCAGAAGCTCAAATTCCCCACCAAAACAGGAACCGGAGAGGCGCGCGGGACGCCGTGGGAGAAGCGCGGAGAAGTGCGCCAGACCAACATCGTTGACACAAGAGCAGAGGAACCCTGCCCAGAATCTATGGATTCTGACTTCGAAGTCGCGCTTGACCCAACCGAGCCGACTAAGAAAATACGCATCTCGACTCATATCCGCGGTGACGCGATTGAGCCGTTGATAGCGCTGCTGAAGGAATACAAAGAACTGTTCGCCTGGTGCACAGAAGATATGTCGGGGGTGTCGAGGCAAGTAGCTCAACATTGCCTCGCAGTTCCAATCAACGCGGAGTCAAGGCAACAGGCGCGACGAGGCTTCACCGGCGACAAACTGAAGGCCATAGAAGAAGAGGTCGCGCGGCTATTAGCAGCATGATTGATCCGCCCTTTGAAATATCGGAAGTGGTTGGCAAATGTGGTCTTAGTGAAGAAGTCTTCAGGGGCCTGGCGGATGTGCGTCGACTATACAACGATCAACAAAGTGTGCTCGGGAGACCCTTACCCCTTGTTGCGCATCGACCAACTGATCGACGCCACTGCCGATCACGAGACACTGTCTTTTCTTGACATGTTCTCGGGATACCACCAAATCCCAAAGTCCCGCGAAGATGAGGAAAAAACGGCTTTCATGAAGCCATTCGGAAACTTCTTCTTCGGAATGTCGTTTGGACTGAAGAATGTGGGCGCGACATACCAAAGAATGATTGATTCGGTGTTCTCACAACAGATAGGGCGGAACATTGAGGTGTATGTCGATGACCTCATCGTGAAGACCAAAACTAGCAATTCGCATCTGGAAGATCTGCGCGAGACATTTGAGGCGCTCCGCAAACACAACCTCCGCTTAAACCCATTGAAGTGTGTTTTCGGGGCAGTAGCAGGGAAGTTTCTTGGTTTCATGATAACCAAGCGCGACATTGAAGTTGACCCGAAACAAATCACTGCAATCCAACAACTGCGGGCGCCAAGGAGCGCGTTGGAAATTCAATCTCTGAATGGCAAGATAGCGGCGCTAGGGAGATTCATACCAAGGTCAGCCGACAAGTGTGCGCCTTTCTTCAGGACGCTTAAAAACGGCACACGATTCGCGTGGTCCAAGGAGTGTGAAGCGGCCTTCCAAGAGCTAATAGCGTATCTTGTATCCCCCCATGTATTATCTGCTCCCAAGCTTAATGAAAAACTTTTCCTGTATCTTGCCGTGTCAACAAGAGCTGTGAGCGCAGTGCTAATATCCAGAAGGGATGGCCAAACCGAGCGGCCCGTGTATTACACTTCGCGAACTCTAGTCAGCGTAGAAACAAGATACTCCCCAATAGAGAAAGCCGCTCTGGCGCTGGTGAGCGCATCACAGAAATTGCGCCCCTACTTCCAAGCACACCAAATCACCGTCCTAACCAACCTCCCGTTAAAAAATATTCTAACCTCAATGGAAGTGTCCGGGCGGATGGTTAAATGGGCGATCGAGCTGTCAGAGTACGACATCCAATATGCGCCAAGACCAGCAATAAAAGCGCAGATCCTAGCGGACTTCATCGCAGAGAGGGTCACCCTCGAGACAACACCAGAAGGAGTATGGGAGGTTTACGTAGACGGCGCGGCAAGCAAACACGGCGCCGGCGCGGGTGTCGTCGTGCGCACTCCCACAGGCGTTAGTCATGAAATAGCAATCAGGTTCAGAACATTGAAGACAAATAACGCGGCCGAGTATGAAGCCATCCTGGCAGGAATTACCGCGGCCAATGACTTGGGCGCTAGAACGATCAGAGTGCTCTCCGACTCCTCATTCGCAGTGAACAAACTGAACGGAGCCTTCGATGCAAAGGAGGACACACTCACGCATTACATGGAACGCGTCAAACAACGAGCGAGTACCTTCGAGGAGGTGACCTACGTGCAAATACCAAGGGAAGAAAACATGCACGCGGACGCGTTATCGAAGCTGGCAATCGCCACCGACTTCGAGTCAACGCGCCTAGTGTCAGTCCAAAAAGAGGAAGAGGAAGTCCGCCAAGAAGCCGTGGTTAACAACACACAAACAACACAAGATGAGGACTAGAGGAACCCGATTGTGAAGTACTTACAAGACGGTGTAGTGCCCGAAGACGCTAAGGAGGCGTGGGCTTTAAGGCAGAAGGCGGCCAGATGCACGCTTATTGACGGGAAGTTGTACCGCCGGTCATAATCCGGCGTGTGCCTGTAATGCATCGGGCAAGAGGAGGCGTGTAACATAATACACGACCTACACGAAGGATTGTGTGCAATGCATGCCGGCGCGCGTAGTATGGAACGCACTATCCTACTACACGGATACTACTGGCTGCGAGTGAAGAAAGACACAAAAAAATATGTCGACCAATGCCACAAGTGTCAACTACACGCGCGCCAACATCATCTACCATCAACTGAGCTTCAAGGCAATCTGAGCGCATGGCCCT